TAGGACAAGATCTTAAAATCCTAGGATCCTGGGATAAAGTCATTTTTTCCTGGGGTCAGGCACCCCAGGAGGAAGCAGAGTTCATAAAATCTTTCAAAAATCTGCATGTTAACTTGCAGCAGTTGCAAACTCACAGGACTCAAACATACGAAATAGCTACCGTGTCTTTAGGAGCAACAGGACTAAACGAGTCTAATCATTGTATTTTATCTGAATGAAAGACCAAATTATACATCCCAGTCCACTGAAATCCACAAAATCAACAGCCAAAAACTTCATGTTCAGTAAAAACCACCCATTGTCAAGTGCAACAAAATAGGAGAAAAGTATATGTTAGGAGTGAATTTCTGGCTATGAAAGATCATCTGAAGCCAACTTCCTATAAAGCAGTTTTGCCTGCAGGATGTAGATGGCATCAAGCATGCAGTGAACTGGAACCTGCCTCACTCATGCTCTCTGAATAAATTCAAATTATTGCCAAAACTGTGTATGCAGCACAGCAAACTACTCCTACACAAGCATGTCAAAGCCAGGCATTATAATCTTTTGCTGCCTGAAAGTAATATATCATCCCAAATACAATTAACACAGCATAGGCTTATTACCAACACAAGCAAAACACAACGTAGATATTTTTATTCCTAGCACATTGAGGGTTCACACACAGAAAGAACAAAAGTTTTGATTTAAATTTGGCTTAATCACTTCAGTGAAAATTTGTTTGCACAACTTGAGAAATCCTTAAATGCTCACTGCAGATGTTGGTTTGTAGGACCAGAAATTCACATCCATAATAACACATTTCCCTGAAGCGCTGTGGTTTAAGTGCCACAGCACTGAAGCAGATATTTATAAAGTGAAGCTCTGGTCCTACTGAAGTTGCTAAAGGCTTTGCCATTGATTTCCACAGGACCAGCATAATCTCCCTCTAACAAATAATAACCAGCATCACCCTTTAATATCTATTTTTTTTACTGCAACATACTGTAAGATATTTTTTACGCTCTGCATTAAATGTAATCGGCAAACTTTAGTATCAGGAGACAATTGCGCTTTGAAACAAATAGAGAAAGTAGTGAGAGGAAATGCTAGTAGCCTTCCAAATTTCCCAAGCAAATCAAACTTTAAACCATGCTTTCCTTAAGAACAGTAATTACATTCTTACCCTAAAAAATGTCATTGTTCTTAATAAGCCTGCAGAGATGTCATCAAAGGGTCACTGACAGAATCTTGCAGGATGGGGAAATCTGTTGCTTAATCACTGCAAGTTGCAGAGACTCTGATCCTAACCACACAAGAGTGGAACAATCTGGAGTGGCATTTACAGGCCAAAGTAAATTGGAACAGATTTGTTTTCCCCAATGATTTACTTAATTACCTTTCAAATTAAGCTAGCTATTCAATTAACTCTAGAAACAATCTCAAGGTCTGAATACTCCATGGCAAAACAGATGTGAGCTCTGAGAGAGAGCTGTTTGGGTGCCAGGCTTACAGGAGAACCGCAGCGGCAGCCAGGTGTCTATGTCCCTGCTGACAGAGCATGTTGTATCAACTAATCTGAATATCGTAGCCACGCTCCACTGGGGTTTTATAACAGATCAAGCTGACTTGAAGGGCAGAAAGCAACACACTCTCATTTCTGCCTCTCAGACCTGGGAGAAGCAGAAGGCAGGTTCAACACCAACTGGAGACTCCAACATGCTTCAGCAGGGCTGGAACTGCCATGCCCTTTTCACAGAAGCACAGCAACTTGTTCTCAGTACCTGCTGCACAGACCTTTGGGAGCTCTGAACGTTCTCCCAAAACCAACCCAAACCAGCCCAACTTAGAGGAAGGCTGCAAAGACGTAGCTTCTGAGCGCTGCAGCACTTGGGGGCAGCAGGGGGCCCAGCTGTGAATATATACTACTGGGAATGCACATTTTATTACATTGCCAGGTCTCAGTTTCTGCAGTGCTAAATGGCCACTGAAAGCAATGGCTTCCTAAAAGTTAAACAGCAAGAAAAAATAAAATTAGCAAGTTAACATCTCAAGAAATAAATGGTGACGAGCCCTGCCTACAAGGGATGTTGGCTGCTAAGGCCTGGCAGAGCTGGGAGACAACACTGCTTCAGTTCAAGAATTCCTTACTCACTGTCAGTTACATATTTCTTCTCATTTAAAAATGACATTACAGATTCCCCTGGCAATGCAGAAAATTAATTTCTCTAGACTCCCCAGAGTGAAAGCCCAGCTTCTTGTATGGACTCAGCTGATCCAAATACTACTTTATTTTCCTCTCTTCTCCTTAAAAAAAATAAAACTACAACTGTAAATATGCAGACATGCAAGCCTTCCATGGCAAGAAAATAAAGGTGAAGAGATCATGAGAAATTCAGTCTCACAGGTACCAAGCATCACTAGAAGATGACACAGCACATTTGAGCTTTGCTCCCCTACCTTGCACCTTCAAGAGCCTCAGATAAGTCCTACCATGCAGTATGCAGGAGAGGCATGGGCAGCCCTAGCAAATAACATTTTCTAGAAAATCCAAGGAACTTGGGGCACAACTCCTGTAATGTGAGAACATGCAGAAAGCACACAAAAAATGTATTACATTTCAGCCCATGCACCCAGGAGAGATGCTGGGTTGTGTGACACTGCACACAGGGCAGAAAGCATGCGGAAAATGGATCCTGGAGATATGAGGTGGAAGGAATCTCTGGAGATCCATAGTCCCACCTCCCACTGGGAGCAGGACCATCACCAATACCAGAACCATCCACTCCCTGGAACGGGGTGATTCCTGTTCCTTTTGTATGTGACTGTTAACAGGTTATTAAGTGCTTGGGAGTGTCTGCATGGCAAACAGCCAGAGTAGAACAAAACCTATCATCTCCAGGCCTTGCTTTCTAACTTGGACAAGCAAGCAAGCAAGCAAGCAAGCAACACGAGTCCTTATCACCGAGGAGGAAATCAGTCCCCTCTCTCAGCTCCTAATCATCAGTGAAAAGGGAATTGTGGTCCAAAGAAGATGAAGTCAGCAGTCCTCAGGAGAAGGTGAAAGGGCACCTCTCTAGCTGGGGCCCTGCTGATGGCACCCCTCTGGCTGCGCAGTCCTTTCTTCTGCACTCACAAAAGAATCCAAGCAAGTTGTTTAAAAGTGCCTCAGGGCAGAGCTCATCCCTAGATCAGATTTGCGCTGCTAAAATAATAAATGAGGTAATGTGTAAATCTGCCTTCGAGTTGAGGACGTTTCATTCATGAAACAGAAATACCAACAGCTTTGCTACCAAATAAACTTCATAGGTGGTTTAAAAAAGTCCCCACGCCTCTCCTTGCAATAAAGCAGAGCCAAGCGGTAGGGATTCCGTGGCACAAGACACACTCTGTTTCCAAGGTCAGCTCTGCAAGTCGAAATAAGAGCTGACAACTTCCAACTCATTGATCTGACAGCGTAAACAGAACCTATGTACCAGTACATGCATTCAGGTGGGCTAGAGCAATGGCCACAAGTGAAGAACTAGACAAACACTATTCTGCTTTTTGTTTAGAGTTTCCAGAAAAACTTTTATAATCAATTCTCCACTCCCTTCTACTCATCCTAAGGATATGTGGAGCCTGGTGTCAGCTATATTTGTGTTGCTAGCTGAAAGAACAGCAGAACATGCCAAGCGTTTAATAACAAAATTCCAGCCTTGTGACACAACCCAGTAATCCCAAGACTGGAAACTAACCTCATATTTCTACTCAGCATAAAACTTGAAACCTAACAAGAGCACTGCTATTTTTATTTTGCCTGAACCTTTTCTAAAGACATGTATCTCACAAATTAAGAAAGTTGACGTAGATCAGGTCAAACAGGGATGTGTTACCTACGTATATATGGCTTCTACATATTGACAGAATTATGACAACACAGAAACGGCTAAAACTAGTTATGCTCATCTCTGTGCACAGAATTCATCGTAGCTGGATGAGCTGTTGTAGTTGCAACTACTGGTCTCCCAGATGAGGAAACAAATGGAGAGTTGCAGCGTCCTAGGAAAACTGTGGCTGGGAGTGAGCACGCATAGAACAATCCAATATCACGACCACAAAACAGGAAGACAGGAGGCTTAGCAAGTGAAGACCTCAGGTTCAGGCCAGAGCCAAATATGCATTATACACATGTCGAAAGGACTCATCAAGACCTCTGCAAAAGGGAGGAGATAAACTCTTTCACCCCTTAAATCTGTTTCAAACCACTATTTGCCTTGATCATTTCCACCACCAGATCCCAAGCAGCTTCTCACTGCTATAGCTGTCCTAGCTTCAACACCACTCACGCTTGCAGTACAGAAAGTGCCATCAAACACCTGGAATTCCATTTTAAAACAGCTTTTACTGTCACTAACTGCACTGGAGATGTGAGGATGTGCCTGACAAAGCTGTAGCACAAAGCCTATGCTGTATCCCAGCACAGACAGCAGAATTGCTCATCTGTCTCAACTTACAAGTCACAAAACAGCGGAAAAATTGTGCCAGTGCACACAGTCCTGTATGGCTGCAATATGTGACATGTAAAACTGCAAATGCAAGTCTTTTAGGGGAAGATAGAAATAATATCATGTTAAGCTAACAGAAATAACTTGTGCACAGGGTACGCTTATTCCCCAAAGCAAAAAAGGTTTATACACCTATTAAATAAATAGTCAGGTAACTATTCCGATTATTGGACTGCTACCACACGTAAGTGTTTAACCACAAGGTTCATGCAATTTTGTGCTGTCTTGCCCTGGCACTACAATGTTTTCTGCAAAGTTCTCCCTGCATTCCTAACTGTGGTGGGCCTACTTTGCTAAGACCATGATCTGGCCATACTACTGTAAAGGATATACAGAAGCATCACTTATGAAGATAGGAATTTAGCTTCAACCTTGACTAGGTCATCTTTTGTATTACAAGGAAAGACACTCAGTGTTAGAAACAGTCTTATGTATACACATAAAAGGCCAGTATTGAACAACTACTACACTTACTCTGCGAAATGACACCACGTAGAATGTATCTTCCCTTCTACGAATAGCTTCAAAAAAATCTTGATAGCTCCTTGGAGAGGCATAATACACTTGCAGCTCATTCCCTGCGTTCCTGAATAAAGAAAGGGGAAATGTAATTATTTTAGACAAGAAAGTTAGCTTCAGTGAGACAATGACTTTAAAGATCTTCTTTTCAAAAGAACATCAGCTCTTCATCCATTGAGAGGAGCATGAGGAATGTTAAAACACAAGTGAAGACAGTGAAACTACTGGGTGTTTTTTGAAAGTCTAAGGTGCTTTAAAGGTCTTTTCCAGGCTTGATTTTATTCATACTTTTGAGGCTGGCAAAAGCCCGCTTGCTAGCTCAACAGAAAAAAAAAAAGTTTCAAGTCATCCTAAAATCTCTGAAAAATTGTGCCGACTTCTGGAAATAGATTTTAGCAAATTTTAGAATGAAATGTAATTCTGAAATAAAAAAATAAAAACATGTAATAATTTTTTTTTTTTTACTGTTAAGGATCCAAACCACTCAAGTTGAAAGAAGTGCAAAGTGAAACATAAACAGAGCTTTTAATTTACTGTCAAGTGACAACCGCACCTTCCCTCTCACCCACGACTTTTTTTTTGCGTCTCTCTGGTCAACTCAAAGATCTGCTCTTGATTTTCAATTTAGACAGTGGAGCAAAAATATGATATTCACATAATTCTGGCTTATCTTTTTCATAATTCTCATCTTACATATATCAGACACAAAGAAAAGACACTCAGTCTAAACTGTTCTAAGCAAAAACACTGGCAAGTTGTACAATCATGGTACTATCCACTGTTTATCTTGGAAAGGTGAGAAATTCCCAGTACATATTTCTATCATGTATACTTCCCCAACCTCATTCAAAAATAACATATTTAATCAAATTGGAAAGCTGTACTCACACAAACCATTAGCTGGACTTTCAACCAGCCATTTTAATTCTCTCCCACTTTAATAGCATACTATCTGTTTGCAGTATTTGTGGCAAAAACACTGATCAGGCTATCCCTCCCATGCTGTCTTCTGCTGACCCAGATTTTAAACTATGGCAGCTGGCTTAGATTCTTTTGGTGTGTTTCTAAAGTATACATAACTATGCACTCAAAACAAGGCACAAATCTATCATCAAGTGATTTTCTTGAGCAGGAGTAATAGTAGACCATCATTATCTCCTCTCTTACTGCTAATAAAGCCCTGTTGCAGTAAGGACTGTAGCTGCCAAGCCAGTTGCCCTTTAACAGGATTGGGGGTGTAAGTCCTGGGGCATCAACAGCAGCCAGCTCTACCCTATATATCCTCTTTAGCAGAACTATGCAAGTGAGGAATCAGATCACAACCTTCACACACAGAAAACAAAGATCAGAGCTAATTTGAGCTTGATTACTCATTCATAAAAACATGTAGACCCACCAAACCACCCCTGAGATTCAGCATTGAAGTTTTACTGTGATAAAAGGCATCACGCCCACACATTGCTCAGTAAAATGCATCCTGAGAACTGAAAAAGGTCCCACAGATCTATCTGCTCGCCCACACTCCAGAAGATACAGCTAGACCTAAAAACCAGCCTTTTCTAATTCTAAATCCAGCCATGGGAGAAAATTGTTCCAAAGCACTTGGAAACCACTGGGCCTTTACAAAGCTGTCTTGGGTCCAAGGAATGAGTTTAACACTAGTCCCAAATTCCAGGTAATACCAGTGGATTACTGGCATTACAGCATACTTACCTTTGGGCATTTAAGGGCACCCGCTATGGACTGCTCCGTGAAAGGAAGAGAGGAACTTAAGATCTGAAAACAGGTGCAAAGCTACCAGTTGTTTCACTAATACCTTACCATATTACAAGAAAGCATCATATTAAATTGCGTATCCAAAACAGTGGTGCTGAGTCTGGCCATTTACTGGGAGATACAAATGAGTCTTTTTTCTTTTAGAAGTTCGAAGGGCACTCTGTTATGCATCACAGAGCACTAGGATGTTGCACATATGCTTGTTTTAAGAGGGAATGAGGTTGTGGACACAGTGCTTTATACACCAAGAACCACAATTTTAATAGTGCAAATTTTAGAAATGGGAAAATAATTGGAGACACCCAGTTTGATATTTGGAGCCCTAAAAACAGACTTGCAGAAACCCTCACCAAAATCACCTCTGAAAGAAAGCTAAATAGACTATAGAAAGTGGAGGAGTTTTAATGGTTTTCTTTTAAATCATCCTAAATTTTATCTTCCTCTTCTGCTTCGACTCACTGCAATACTTTTCAATTCATTGACTTTCTTTTGGAATCCAGGACCAAGGTGACAATGGTGGTATCATCAGTACTACACAGATAAATCTAGACCCTGCTAATGTCCTCCTGTTCACGAGTTCAGGTCATCAACAAGGGTGCTGTCGAAGGTAAAGGTCACTCAACTTACAGAGACAGCACTGGTATTAGAAATCACAAGCCTTGATTGTACACTCCACAAAAAGGCACTTGTATAATTAATAGAAGCTTCAGGGCCATCTACAAACATTTATGTTATGTATCAGGAAACCTACACCTGCTTTAGTTTTTGGTTTTACACATTTGCACAGACACTGCTAGTGCATTAACAGTTCTCCAAAGGCAATGCCTCAGGGGTAGCATCAATGACAGAACTGAATATACAGCACCCTTCCTGTCTTTCCAAGTGCTGCAGAGAAGGACACGGGTTGCTGGCAGGCAAGCTGAACGCAAGCCAGCAGGGCGTCTGGGGGGCAACTGCGTACTGAGCTGGCATTACCACCAGGGCCTGGGGCGTAGGATGTACAAGGAGAGACAGGAGACAGAAGGAACTGGGCTTGTTCAGCCTGGAGAAGAGGCTGAGGGGGGCTCTAATTGCAATCTTCAGCTTCTTAATGGAGGTTACAGTGGAGATGGAGACAGTCTCTTCTGACAGAGACACACAGTAAACCTGAAGTTAAACCTACTTTCAG